TTTTTTAGCTCATTTTTCATCAAGGACTGTTTTTATTTAAAGAAATATTTGATTTATGCAAAAAAATTATTAAAAGCCGGATATAGACATTTTAGCCCAAGATTCTTTTTTTTTATTTTGTTCTAATAAAATTATTTACTCTTTAAAATCTGCATTCTTTCGTTTTTTTCACTCTTTGCGTATTGTAAGAAATTTTATTAAATCGATTCAAAACTTCGGAAAAATAGGTTTCAGATATATTTTTTCAGATTGATTATTCGATTTTACATATTTTTTTAAAGAATTACTTTTATTACAGGAAAAAAATGCAAAAATATGCTTATTTTGATTTATTGCATCCAATCTGGATTATTTTGATGAATAAATGCCAAAAATCACAAAAATGACTAATTTTGCTTATTTTACAAGATTTTATTCTATTGGGGCAAAAAAACCTAAAGAGGAAGTTTCCTTAACCTCTATAAGGAAAGTATTAATCGGCTGAAATTTGACCTACCTAAATTTTTACAATTCTGGACGAATTAAAACACAAAAAAAGTTGGTTTGGGCCATTCTCGGGCCATATCTCGAAAACGATAAGAGCTAGAAACTTGAAATTTGGTATGTAAGTTACTTGTAGCAAGGGGACGTAACACGAAACATTTGGTAAAAATCGGTCGCACCGTTCGGCCGCAAAGACTAAAAATCGGCCTTAAAGCGGGCGCAAAATTGAGGATTTTGAAGAAATTATTTAGAATCATGAAATATACCTTATTTATTTTGCCACTCGAATTTCCAACACTAAATTATTGTCGTAAGAATGTTTTCCAAATAAGTTGGATAAGGAAAGTCGTGTGATGTTCACACCAGATTTTTATTCATTCTTATGAAAAGTTAATGCTAATTAAGTGTCATTTTTTGCAAACGGAAAGCAAAATAATTAGAATTCCCGTCATTTGAGTCATTTTGTTGAATAAGAGGTTCAACAATAAAAGTGACTCATCGTCGTCATTGACTTTCACTCCAATATGGTCGATGGTGTGTTTATTTTCGTCGAGTAATGGGTTTGTTTTGTGACCTTTTGATTGTTACGGTGGCAATTAGGCGAAAAGAGGTCAAATGGGATTGCTTGAGTGCAGTTTCAGGACGCGTTTCAGCTGGGGTGTGGACTGAAACGAATGAAGGAAAAATTCCAACCGGTCGATGATAATTTATCGTCGACTCTCTCGGCAATAAAAAATCGACTGAAACGTGCTTCCTGCGATTACCTCGTTATATACTACACGCTTCTTCCGGGTATTTGATATAATCACTTGGAGTGTTATTTCATTCCACATATTTGACCTTGAAGGTATTCACGACAAGTATTTTCCATTTTTTGTTGTTTTTTACCCCGGAATGGTGCACTTTCGCTCACCCGGAATTTATTCGGTTTATTCCCCGTCAACTTTGCTATGCTAATGCGATTCGGAAAAGTTTTAAACGGTAAAATGAAGTTTTCTCGTTATAACTTGCTAAACTTGTTTACTGCAGAGTTTCTCATAAATTTTGTTTGGTGAGCGGTTAAGCGCACAGTAAAAGGTTACTCTTTCATCTATCTGACGAAGTTTGCCAATTTTCGAACCCACCATCACGTTAATGCGTGTTATTATTGATTAATCCTGCCGTCTAGTCGCCCACATTGTTTATATATGACCTGTTCAAAACCGGTTTCTACAATGCACCCATTATTATACCACAGTGGAGGCGTTATTTAATAGCTCCATCACATCAACCAAAACGAAATTAGGTGCTTCCTACTCGAAAAAACGTTTTGGCGCGTCTGTGGTTATTTCGAACGTTCTCACGTTATTATGGATTAGTTATCAGGATTAACGACATCCTGATGACTCAGTTAGTCGTAACGGCCGTCTATGAACTCGCGACCGAACCTGTTTCTTGCTGAATTGAAACTTTCTTGGTCGAGTTGTAAGACTGGTTTTTTTGCAGGAATGGGATTCGAGTTTAGCAGGAGTAAGGGAGTATCCGGAATTGAAAGCTGCTGTAAGACGATGGGCCGAACAACAGGACGGTCAAAGGATTCTTCTTACTACCCCTAGTGTTTTGGTGGGGTATCGAGTGGAGGTGTACAGGGCTGAGGGCACAACGCAGTGGTACACCGCCGTGATAGTGGGATACAACGAAGCTACAAGGGTGAGGAATAGTGATAAGATGGATCAAAATTTTTTTAGGAGACTTGAAATTTGGTATGTAGCACAAAACAATTGCTAATAATAACTTTATTTAACGGTCATATCCTTTAGTAATAATAGAAAACAAGCAACATATAAACATAATTAAAGAACACAAAATGACTAACTCAAAGAAACTTTCAGAAAACGCTTAAAGGATTTAAAATTAAAAAAGTCCAACTTGACACTGTACAGGGTGCTGCATTTTGGATGTCCGAATAGGGAATCTCCGAAACTAAGAGGTTTAGCCAAAAACGAGTAATCCATTCTGGGGCTCATTTTTTGAGGAAATAATATTGGTTAAAACCGCATCCCGCTATCGTCTTTTGTTTTCGACTTACAGACAAAAGTTGACATTTTGGCGAAATCTAAAAAAATTTATATCTTCGTTATTATAGAAGATACGGATTTGAAATAAAAACATTATACAGGCACTTTTTTACGAGGAATTTAATAATGTAGTTAACATTTTTTTTCAGTTATTAGTTTAGCCGTAATAAGATAAACTTGTATTTTTTTAAATGAAATTCATAGGCGGCTATGGCAATTTTGAAAAGCTTATTTTTTTCTGATCTAAAAAATATATATTTGTAACAAAATATTTTTTATAACTATACTTAAAAAGTGAAATACATATTTTGAGTGATAATAGTTGGCTCTGGAAAAACTATTTCACTCCAAATGTGTAAATAATAATCAATAAGAGTTTTGTGAACTGTAAAATAGATGAAAAAATAGATAAAATTATGAAGATTTAAAAAATACGATACGGTAGAAGCATCGAACAAATATCGGAGCACCTCAAAATTATTACATATTTTTAAAAAATCAAAAAATAGGAAAAACAAATGTGTCAACAGTCAACACAATTAGAAAAAACATTTTTTTGATGATCTAATGGAGGTAGAATAACGTTTCACATAGACGGAATTTGGGTATTTTAATAGCCATATCGTCATTTTTGTGTCATATAAAATATATTTTATTGAAGAATTAAACCGGCTTTTTTTACAACACTCTATGTATCACTAGAAGTTGCAATAGTAATGTTAGTTTAAAAACAAAGAAATGTTATTATTCGCCAATAAGTTGATTTAGGATTATTTTGTATTTTTTTCATTACTTATTGCTTAGAAAACTCTTTCACTAGTGACACTGGTTGAATATAATATAATTTAAATCCTTTTAGTTGAAGATGCAACATTTTTTCATGGCCAACTGCGAACAAAAATCAAAGATAATTTTTTGCTAAAATTGTATTATAATAATCTGTTACAAATATATATTTTTGAAATAAGAAAAAAACAAGCTTTTTAAAAATGACATAGCCATCTATGATTCCCATTTAAAAAAATACAAGTTTATTTTATTACGGCTAAACAAACAACTGAAAAAAAAATGTTAACTACATTATTAAATTCCTCGTAAAAAAGTGTCTTTATATCAAATCCGTATCTTCTATAATAACGAAGATATACATTTTTTTAGATTTCGTTAAAATGTCAATTTTTGTCTATAAGTCTAAAACAAAAGACGATAGCGGGATGCGGTTTTAAGCAATATTATTTTCTCAAAAAATGAGCCCCAGAATGTATTACTCGTTTTTGGCTAAACCTCTTAGTTTCGGAGATTCTTTATTTGGACATCCAAAATGCAGCACCCTGTACATGTTACAAATTCTTAAAAGATCATTTAGCGGAGAATTAAATAGATAATTATTATGTGCAAACGAAATTTTGAATAATTGGTTAGATCTGCTATTATACTGTGGAACGTCAAAATTAATTAAATTTAGTATTGAAGTATCATTAATCAAATTATTTAAAAGTTTATAAACAAAACATAAAGCCTGATATCTTCTTCTAATTTCAAGTGTAGAAAGAGACAAATAATTTAATAAAATATTGTAATCTTGCACATAATAAGGCAGCAACCATTTTATATATTTAAAAAACTTTAACTGTATTGCTTCAAGCCTACCAACATGAATTTTGTAATGTGGATTCCAGATTATCGAACCAAATTCGAGGATTGAAACAAATAGCATTTTGATGGAATTAAAATTTCTAAACTCACGACAATAACGTTTTATACACCCAAGTGCCTTATTAGCTCTACAAATGATAAATTCAAGGTGTTGAATAAAAGTTAATTTACTATCAAGTAATATACCTAAATCTCTCACAGACTGTTTTACTGTAATTTTTGTACTATTAATAAAATAATTCGGTAGGGTTGGAGAGATTTTCCTGCTGAAAACAATAGACTGACACTTTTCAACATTTAAAAACATTTTGTTATTTGCACACCAGTCTTGTAACTTATTTAAATCAGATTGTAGTACAGACATGTCACGAGATTCCGAAACCTTTCTAAATATCTTAAGATCATCAACAAATATACGATAATCACTATCAAAATTACATCCTATATCATTAATAAAAATAATGAAAAAAAGTGGACCCAAAACAGATCCCTGTGGTACACCTGACATGTGACCCCCAATTTTTACTTGCTGGAATCGATCAGTTAGATAACTGTGAAACCACTCTAAAAGCGAACCAGCAAATCCATAAACAGACAGTTTTTGTAATAAAATGGAATGATTGACTTTATCAAAGGCCTTACTAAAGTCGGTATATACTGAGTGTACCTCCATACCAAGACCAAAAGTAATAAGTAATAAAATAATTCGGTAGGGTTGGGGAGATAATAAATTCATATTCAATTCATTCAATAAATTATTGTCGCTATTAGGATGTTTTCCAAATAAGTTGGATAAGGAAAGTCGTGTGATTTTTTCTTGCAAGAATGCGGTTGGATTCGCTCGCTCTCTCGGCGCCAATAACAGTTATGCACATTCTCTTTTTTGCCTCTTCGCCGACGAATGTGCATCATTACCAACGGCGCAACTTTGACCCCGACTTTGCATAATTGCGAGCGGGAGGAAAGGCGCATTTTGCATACATGCACACCAGGGCATCAACCGGTAAAAATGAAAGGTGCTAACCGAACGTGATGGAAAAGTTTCAACTCCTCCATTGTCTCAATTCGCGGATTACTCACGAATACTGATAAGGAGAAGCGTAGATAAGCGGTTTTTGATCGCCAAATAGTATGTAGGTCATCGTGACTTGGCTGATAAGACCACAATTTTGCTTTGTTCGAAAAAAGAGATAATTTGGAGTAATCCATTTGATGAAATTGGATCTAATTTTTTTTTAATGACGGCTTAGATGGCAAAAGTTGCGAAACGGTCAAGTAGAATTTTTAGAAAAAAATAAGTGCCCCACTTGCCCCAAAAAATTTCAGCTATTTTCAATCCAATTTTAAACTATTTCAATACAGAACTCATTCTAAATTAATGTATTTTATAAAAATAATTGCTTTAATCTCAATTTTAGACTGAAATAAAGCAATTTGTGATAATAATAATAAATGCTTAAATAACAGTTTTCTTCCAAAATAAAGGAATTTGAACTATTTTCAACACAATTTTGCTTTGAATGTAGCTTTTTAAAACAATGTTTTTACGCTAAACTGTTATTAGTCGATTTTGCTTAGTTTTAGAAAAAAGACGTTTTTTTTGACGAAAACAATCACCTTTTAAAAATTTATTACACAAAAACTAAGACAGCTAGAACAAATTTTTTCTTACTTCTGCAAAGAAGAAAGTACAGAATTTAAAGCTGTAGCAATTTTTTAGTGTTTTGCATTTCTAAAGATTAATAAATTAAGAAGTTTGTTAAAAGTTAAATAACTTAAAAAATTTTAATGGAACACCCTATTTTTTATTTTTGCATCTAATAGATTGATAAATTGTCTATCTGAAAAAATTAACTTTTAATGTCTAGAATTGATAAATGAAAAAAACATTCAATATTAATTGTAGCAACAATGATTATCAATATCTGAGCATTGTTGATACTATGGCAATCATAGTAATTCCACCACGAATCATTTATCCGTTGATTTATCTAAAGATTGTAAAAGTCGTTATAAATACTGAAATTCGAATTATTTTATTGTAAAAATAAAGAATAATGGATTCAGTTTAACACAAAAGTGATTATTAAGTGATATTTCTTCCATCTCTTGTGCAATTGTGCACTTTTTGGCTACTGAAACAATAGTAATTTTTTTTTTAATGTTTAACGTTAAATATCTTTTTATTTTTGATTATAAACACCTAAAAGTAAATAATTTTAGAAAGACAATTTAATAATCTTTTAAATGCAAAAACAATAAATAGGGTGTTCCATTTAATTTTTTTAAGTTATTGAACTTTTAACAAACGCCTTCATTTTTTATCTTTGCAAATGCAATATACTAAAAAAATATTACAACCTTATAGCTTGTACCTTCTTCTTTGCGATAGTAAAAAAAAATCATTCTAGATGTCTTAGTTTTTGTGTAATAAATTTTTAAAAAGTGCATGTTTTCGTCAAAAAAACGTCTTATTTTTAAAACTAAGCAAAATCGACCAATAAAAGTTTAGCTTAAAAACATTGTCATAAAAATCTACATCAAAAAACGCTAAGAAACATAAGGTGTTTCATTTAAAAAAACACAAGTTTGTATTGTAACTTATTTTTGGGACACGCTGTATAGTTCAAAGTAATTTTAGGCGATGGATTAGATTAGTATCTATCAATGTCCTGTATAATTTTTTTAAATTTCACCATTTAAATGTCACTAATGGACTTTCTCAACTAGCTGGAACATCCTGTATAGCTCAACTTTGTTTTTTTTTTTGAATTTTTTGATAGTGGCCTGGGTGGTATATAATTTACCAACTAGCCAGATAAGTGTTTCTCGAACAAAAAATTTTTTTGAACATCCCTTTCATTTTTATCAGTTATATATTTATTTTTATCAGTTGATGTTTCAGTAAATAAAATAATAAAATAAGCACTAAAATACTTCTACCGCCTCCAGTTTCCGTATAGATATTTTTTAGACGTTAAAGAATCATTTCCAAAAAAAATTGTTAAAATTGTTTTTCGATCCACCTTAAAATTCGTGTCAAAGTTGAATCAAACGGAAGAATGAAATAAATTCTTACCCATTGCAAATTCCCCGAATTCCTCCACTTTTCGACCGCAATGATTCAGCGAAAAGAACGAAATGTTCTCATGTCGTTTTGTCAGTTTCGATTTATTTTGGTACACGATAAACAATGTTTGATTATTGTTCCAGTTTGAGCAACAAGCTCTCGTTTCTCGGAATTATTGTTCCGCATAAATAAAATATTATTAGTTTCATGTTCGACCTTGTTGGCATTTTGATCGAAAAAGTCGTGATTCGAGACAAGTGAGGGTGAAAAGGAAATAAATTAAATTATATCCGAGTTAGAGGAGTTGAAAACTTGGTGTATTCATTATGAAAGTTTCCTTGAGGAAAAGTTTGTTTTCAAACTTGGTTTAATGGAGATAGTTGAGTTGAGGAGACAGCCAGACACGTGCCCGACTCCATTTTCGTGGATAAAGTTTACACAAGTTGCAATTTGGTGAAACTTTCAAATCGATTTGAGGTGGCAAAACCGCAACACTGACGAAAACTCCTAAACTATCTTGGCAATCATCCACGGACAATATTTAGATTTGCATAGAATTTTCTATAAATCAAGCCCGGGTTATATTTGTGGATTGGGTCGGGTATAAATAATGTTTTATTTATAGACTAATGTTTTTGTAAACAGTAAATTTTCCGCTGCCCGAGTGGGTTTTTTGCCGACTGGCGTAATCGCCACAATGATGTTTTTATACCGTTTCATTTGCATTAATTATCAGATTTCTAATTTGTTCCAGTTTATTAATTAAATCCAATATCTGGCTCCTGTCTCATGATATAGGCTGTATTATGAAAAACGCCCCAAGCCATAACTCCATTATTTTTAAAGTTATGACAATACTTCTTACAACAAAGTTGAACATTTTTTGCTATCTATCGTTTAGGATAGACGCTAAATTAATGCTATTTTCTGTTTCACCGGAAATCACATCAACTTTATTTTTTGTAATGGAACACCCTGTATATTTTACCACTTTTGGATTCCTTGTTTAATTGTCTTTTAACAGGTTTTAGTACCATATGCCTAAAACTAACCGTTCGTGAGATATTCACCAAATAATGTATTTATTAAAGTTGGCAGTGGAAAAGAATAATATCAAGTAATGTTGACAAATATTATTCCTTTGCATTTTTTCTTATTGTTTTTACACTTTTTAATGTTAATCATGGATGATAATGTGTTAACAGACATATTTTGAATAAAATAAAAATTGTGGGAGAGCACTACGCTTTTACACTGGGTGATTTCTGATGAGAGACGTTCCAAATCGTCGAAAATTTAAGCGACTTAAAGAAAATTTGAGGATGTTTTGGGCTTTTAAAAAACCCAAATTAAAACATCTCCAATTTCAAAGAGATACAGAATTAGATAGGTATTGAAGAAAATGCAAGAACATGAATTCAAGAAATTGCAACTAACGTTGGCTTATCGCACGCAACTGTTCTAATTTGGGTTTTCTAAAAACCCCAAACATCCTCAAATTTTCTTCAGGTCGACGAATTGGATCTTCTCTTATTGGAAACCGCCCAGTGTAAAGGCGTTGTGGTCTCCAACTATTTTTATTGCTTTCAAAATATTCCTGAATCATGTCTGTTAACACATTATCACCACCAGAACACCAAAAAAGTATAAAAATAATAAGAGAAAATGCAAAGTAATAATATTTGTCAACATTACTCAATATTATTGTTTTCCACTGCCTATTTTAATAAATTTTTAATTGACTCATATCTCACGAACAGTTGGTTTTAGGCACATGGTACTAAAACTTGTTAAAAGACAATTAAACAAAGAATCCAAAAGTGGTAAAATATACAGGGTGTTCCATAAAAAAAATAAAGTTGATGTGATTTCCGGTGAAACAGAAAACATCATTAATTTAGCATCTTGCCCAAACGATATTGTATTGTCATAACTTTAAAAATAATGGAGTTATGGCTTGGGGCGTTTTACATAATACAGCCTGTATAACCTGAAAATAACTGAATTTTTTTCAGGACCTGACTGTAACAGACGACACGGTTTTGGAGGAGCACAATGAGGATCCAGCTTTGGTCCAAATGCGTCTCATCGGCGACGGAGGTGAGTGAAAAAAAATCTCGTGCAAATTCTCAGTGCAATGTCCTAGTTTCAACACGCAACGTTGAATAATAAAAACGTCTTCCTTTAATATATTCTCTGTCTTTCTCACAACGAACGTTTCGAGCGACTGAATTACGATATGAATTATTCATGATGGACATAAAATGTAGGTATTTATTCATATGGAGTGCGACGTCCTGCTTGAGGCAATCGGTAGTGAACCGTACGATCATCTCGAGATAAGAAAAATCTCCTCAACACCCACCACATTCATAACGGGGAATTAACGACGCCTCTAATTGTCTCTTTTCAAACATCAAAGAGGTGATTTTTTTGAAAATAATACAGTCGTTGCACTTGACAAGTGTCTTATCGAAATTATGAACTGATAAGCGTAATGTTTGTTTAATTATTCATTATTCCATTTTGGACTTAATTCAAATATCAATATTTACACGTGACGTAACATTTTGGCACACAAGCCAAATCTGGGTTGGCATTCACTGAATCTTTGCTTTTGTTACAATTTCTAAACTCAGTATTATCCAATACGTCTTATTAGAGTGAGAGGTATTGACCTCTACATAAATAGAAAAGAGAAAAGAAAAGAGCGTTTTTGGCTAATTTTGTGAATTTTAGGTGAATAAACAGAATCATTTTGAGTTATTTTTACATGAGAAACAAAATTGGTGGTTAATAAAACCTTCAGAAGGTGTAATTAAAATATTTGGCTCTAGGTAAATAATAATCGTGTTCAGAAATGTATTTTTAATGTTAAAATAAAAAACACATTGATATTAACACACTATTTTTCAAAATTAAAAAATAAATCGCAGTTCAAAAATTCTGAAAAAAATTTCATAATTTTCTTTGGCATTAGCAGTAATATAGAGGTGCGCCAGAACTCGCGCCCCAGAGAAAAGGTAAGATACCAGGAACATGGAACAAATCTGGCTTATTTTTTAATATTTTGTTGAGTAATTGCCAGAAATCGCCAAATCGACTTATTTCTTTTATGAAGACTTCGATTTTTTTACAAGATTTTATACAATCGTGACCTCAAGAACTGATTCTGAATTTTCTGTTTTGGATTATTTTTTTTTGTTTAGCTTATTTTTTAGCGAGAATTTTGAGCAAATCATATAAAAAGCTTAATTTTTTTGTTGTTTATCAATAAACTTGTTCAATTTTTACACAAAATGTAAAAATAAGGTTTAAAATAAGTTATTCTGGCTTGTTTCAGGATTGTTAGAAATTTGGTTTATTTTTTTTGAAGTATGAAGTATGAAATCGTAAAATTGGCTGATTTTTTCAATGAAAACTTTGTTTCTTTTAAAAGATTTTATTAAATTGAGGTAAACTATTGCGAAATCTGTTCACAAATTATTTTGGCTTATTTTGTTCGATTTAGCTCAAAAAGATTTATGCAAAAAAAAAACAAACAGTCAATTATAAGCTGGAAATAGACTTTTTACCCCAAGAATTTTTTAATTTTTTTTATTTTTTACATTTTTTTGATTTCTTCACTCTTCGTTTTTTATATTTTGCTTATTGTAAGAAATTTTATTAAATCGATTCAAAACATTCTAAAAATAGGTTTCAAATTGAAAGATGAATACATTTGAAAAAAATATATATAGGTGGCTGTGCATTTCAAAAAGCAGATAAACAAAAACCATATTTCAAATGATGCGCAGGGAAAAATAAAAATCGACCTGTTTCAGGATTTTTTACAAAAATCGCTTATATTCAAATTATGAATTTTATTTCAGTTAAAATTCCACTGTATTTTTTTCAAGCAATTTGAACAATATAAAAAAATAAAAACTATTGAATTTTGCAATCCGTTACAAATATTCAAAAATAGAAAAAACTCTGTGATACTGTGTCTGAGGTGCTAATTTAATTCAGGAACAACATTCAATTGTAAAGAAACCAATTTGTTTTCTGTTTTTCTTAAAAATTCAATTTAATCACTAAATTCTGGATCAAGATTATTATTACAATTTTTTTACTAAAACTTTATTTTTATTCATTATGTTTTATATTATTTGTACTTGCATGTTTCATACATTTTTACCCAAATTTTTTTATTTTAATTCAAAAATGCCATTTAAAATCTCAATATTAAATATCTTAAATGCGATTTTGTTGCACAATTCTTTTAATACATCTTTGTGAAAAAAAATCTTCGGATTGAAACATGAATTTCCACGAATTAGCTATAACATAGAAAGTGGTTTTGCCTTTCCTGTCTCAAAAAAATTGGTGTGAACATCACACGACTTTCCTTATCCAACTTATTTGGAAAACATCCTTACGGTGTTGGAAACCTAACGTTTGCGTTAGTGCCACCTGCCGGATTACACACGAAATAGATCACATTTTACTGTTTAATAAGGTATATTTCATGATTCAAAATAATTTTTATCCCCATGAATTTATTTATAGTATCTTCAACCGTATAATTTTGATTTTTGGTCTTTGCGGCCGAACGGTGAGACCGATTTTTACCAAATGTTTCGTGCTATTAGTAACTTACATACAAAATTTCAAGTTTCTTATAGGATAAGGAAAGTAAAAATATTTAAAAAGGAAAAAATACAAAATATGAACATAAACAAAGCATTGCTGCGTTCACAAAATACAAAATAAATAATAATGTTTTTTAATTTAAGAATCCACAAGAATAATTTAAAATTTATTGTATCACTACCAGTACCAGTTTTTGATATTTAATCCTGAAAAAAAATCGTATTTTAGTTATGTTTGTGTTTTAATGCTTATCCTGTTGCTCCTAGATAAACCAAATTGAAATTATTAATAAAAATACATTAGTGTAGCTTTCGACAATATTAAAATCAAGCAAAACGTTTAAAATAAAAGAGAAATTAAAAATAATTGCTTTGACAACTTGCTATATCTTACTATAATATCGCTGTCTTTGTTTACGCAACGACAATTCTCATATTTACTATCTTTCTCTAATGGTTGGGGTCATGGCGCATCTAATCGCTATTATCGTGGCTAAATTTAACAAGAGACTCAAAATTGTTGATTGTTTATCTTTGATAACACATTCTGTGAATCAAATGTTGTAGTAACAAATTCCATTTATTTTTATAGAATTGTTTGTTGTGTAAAGTCACTGTAGCGTCAATAATTATTAAATAAATGAGTTTGAGCGGAATTCCATTAACATCCGACCTCTGGCTTATGTCATGTCTGAAGCGCTCGAGGGATGTAAAAGCCCGCTTTGGGAGTCGCAAAGTAATTAATAACAAATTTAGTAGCCCGAAACCTTAGCGAACTTCTCCAATATTATTTTTTCGCGATTCTCTTTGTAAACTTTGACACGATTAAAATGAGTTTGCCGAACTTTTTATTAAGATATATATTGATTTTTATTTTAGCAGAAACTTGGGGACGCAGCACGAAACAATTGGTAAAAATCGGTCGACCTGAAAGACCAAAAATAAATTCATGGGGATACAAATTATTTAAAATCATGAAATACACCTTATTACACAGTAAAATGTGATAAAATTTAAAATCTATTTCGCGTGTAATCCCTCAGGTGGCATTAACGCAAAGGTTAGACTGAATTATTGTCGTTATTAGGATGTTTTCCAAATAAGTAGGATAAGGAAAGTCGTGCGATATTTTCACCAGATTTTTTTATCTGTTTGTTTTCAGTGGTGGAGTCGATCATGCGCGGGGAGAACGTGGGTATCACCCCTCGGAGGTCACGATCCGCCGTGCTACAGACGCAGTATCAGCAACAACCGGTAAGTTGAAACGAAAAAAAACAATCAAGGACACAACAAGGGCTCTTGTCGTTTTTCTTGAGAAATATGATGATCACATTATTTGCCATTCATTAATACCATTCGTGAAGGTCGCATTTTATGTTCTGGTTTTATTAATGAACAACCAGTGGCTTTTTTTCAAGAGAAAATTACTCATTTATCACGAAACAACATGGTAATAATTTTACAAATATGTAAATAAAAAAGCAGACTTGTCAAGGTTTCCACTGTTTTTACCCACATGTTTAATTTTAATTACCTTCGCGTGAAATGTGATTTACATTTAATTATAGAGAAGAACAGATTGGTATGGAAATGCAATAATTTATTATTACGTATATTTATTTGAATGCATTATTTTTCTTGCCAATTCAATTAATTGACTGTGTGGTAGACCAGTTTGTGTGGGAACTACCAATTTAGTTGTTGGTGTTTTTTCCAAACTGCAAAGACTTAAAAGTGAAGTAAATTACAATTTTGAATTATTTATGATTGAGCGTAAATATAGGAATTAATAAGACCTCTTTTCCAACGTATTGATTAGCTGTTAAAAGCAATACGAGAGGTTGTTTTACTTTAAAATTGCCTTGGCTTGGCTGTCTTAACGGTACTAACTTCCATGTTAAGTCGTGTTTATTTTTAGAAAGATGCGCAAATTACAATTAATAATTGTCTACATGGAATTTACAAACAAGAGAGCAAAATTTATTGTAGGTAACCACAAAAAGCTATTTTAATAATGGGGGCCAAGGTCGTGGTCAGGTTTCAGGTAGAAAACCACCCTCGAAGCCCCAAAAACAGGTGTAAAAAGGGAGGTCGTCGACTGGGGAGCGCCGAATGACTAAGATAATAAGACACATGTCTAATAACGAAACAACTTTCTCGCCATTGCTATGCTAATGTAACACACAGGAAACGCAAACGAATGCGTTTAATATTAAAAGATACTTTCCATAATTTACCGTAATTTCACACTGCGGGCCAGATTACACGCCATTTCGTAACACAAGGTTAACCAGAATGGTTTCTTGTGACTGCGGTTTGATAAAATAAGGGATTTCAATTTTCTATTTAAGTTTGTTTCAAGGTGATGTAAATGTTAACGAATACAATAATTATGCAAACATTTGTTTGGCAAATATGACTTGGAGATCGGCGGAGCCAATGACTCCAACAACGAAATAGATTAACATGTAATTTGGGGGCGACCTTGAGCGGTGAACAATCTGTTTAATTAAAGCAAAACAAATTTCTCGTTACAATATTACCGTGCCGGTAAATTGCGCTCACTTCAAGCAGGGACTGCGCTCAGCGAATTTTTGAACTGCGCTCAGGTCAATATGTCTCAGCGTGATGTAAAGATAAATTCCCATGCCATGAAAATAGGAATAAATTTCTAAATAGGTTATTATTTATAATTATATTTGGTCAAACAATTTTGCAAAAGTCGATCGTTCTATTTGCTTCTCTTTTAATTAAAACATACCTTTTAATTTAGGGTACTTGTTGTTGTGATGCTACTGAGCGCAGTTCACCTTAAGGATCCTGTTTTTAAAACTGAGCGCAATTCGGCCTGCCCCACACATCCACAAGCTTTCGTGGGATTTCTCTACCATCATTGTGTGATGTTTTTTCATCGTTACATAATCCGCACTGTCTTAGGAGTGTCGGAATGAGTGCGTGGTATGTGTGTGTCATTTTGATAGACGTTAAATGATGCAAAATGGCTGACCTCGTCGTCCTATTTATGGTTCATCAGGCGGGTTCACGGTACCGCACTGCGCACGATGCTGAAAATAGTCGCTGTTTTGTGTATTTTGTTACAAACTTAAATGACCAGACACACAAATTTCATTAAAATAATTAATAGCTTCTTGAAAAACACACAAAAAGTGCAAATTTGTAAACAATGTTGCGGTTGTTGGCATTTATGCAAACAAAACATTGTTTAAACTTAATTCACTATTTCCAGTTTACGTCCATGCACGAAACTCATGTTTTATTTAACGACTCGGCGAGGGCTACTTGGCCCCAATCGGATTCCTCGATAACCACCCACGTAAGGTCACAGAACTTGCGACTAAACTGCGATATTTCAGGCATGAGTAATAAAAATTCGTCGGTCATACCACAAACCAATTTGGGCCGCAATCCAGTATATTATGGAATGCAACTGCGCTTCCGGAATGTTCCCAATCTTGCTAATTAATTAGTGTGAAAACCTGAAACTTTGGTCTTATTCCGTGCCCCAAACGCAATCAATAGGTCCGTTTCCGCATCCCCGATAAATACCTAAAGCGGCAAAGCGTCTCGTCGTGTTTTTTTCCCTTTGAAATTGCTTGCAGTCGATGTCGGTGAGCGACTGCGCTCGAGTTGCCGCCCTGCCCAGCCGTTGCAGCACTCCGCCCCAGACGCTCCGGTCGCACAACGTTTAGCGGAGCTTTGTGAGCACGTTGTTCTTTGTTCCGCCGCGTATAATTCCAGTGCTTTCTTCTAGTTCTAGTGCTGTGTTGTGATGTGAAAAGCGTTTTGTGGATGAGTCAAACGTGAAGTAAGTAGCCCCCGGAGGCGGCGATCGATACCGCCAGGTGGCTTCTCTAATTACACACCGCCCCCACGAATTGGGGACTAATTAGGCGGCGCGTGCTCGCGATTGCATTCACATGCCGGATTTTTCCGGGAAATGCCGCGCCCGGAGTTATGCTAATGAGTTGACCGGTTTAGCTTGAACGACTAAAGTAAGGTCATGAAGGATTCAACTTTTGCATCTAAAACTGTCTCATTTTGTTATCTGGGGCCCCGGAAGGCTGTTTCCATTCTTGCATATAGTTAGGTCAAGCGTGAGACTAATTGAGTTAATTATTGCCATCCAGAGCCGTGTTGTCCGAGGATTATCAGTGACCTCCACGAGTAGTGTCAACGGCAGGAAGCATCATCAGCGATCTGGAAAGTCTACTTTCGACGTCGCCTCCTCCGTTGGAGGAACATCGCCGGAACCGCTCGATAAAGGTGAGTCTTTATATGAAAATTTTGTGCGTGATTGATGACTTCCTACAAGTCTTTTGACCCGCTCGGGGTCACTCTCGAGATGTGTTCTCGATTGCAATTAAGACAAAATGGCCGACTGGTTTATTCGTGTTCGGTGAAGCGTGACTGTTGTTCCCACAACAGTATTTTTAGTCAAAAGTGGAGGTTTCGAGGAGGCTCTAGGGCCAGATGCTCGCGCAGCGGGAGGGTTCTAAGGGATCGAAAATATCTGGCGCCTACGCCAAAAACTCACAACATTAGAAAAACAACAATTGATGGCCCCAATGACATTCAAGGTTAAGACACTTGGGACCAATCGTGACACGCCATGTGCCCGCCATTCGAACGCCGATGCGTGACGTGCACTTGTCTGCCCGGCGATTGTCGTTTGTTTGGCTTCCGGCCAAAGCCAACGACGATACTTAAAACGATTTATGCGTTAACTACCGGAATTTCCTTTGACTATGCCAGACTCCTGCCAACTTTGTGTTTATTTATAATGCAATAGGATCAAGAAGAGGGGAAAAAAACTCAAACGCCCACTACACATCACCATCAAATTATGGAATTAGATCGGTCGTGGGGCGAGGGGTACCATTAACCGTGACTATGCGATCCGCCCCAGGCTATCGGGATGGGCACGATCTTACCATTACCGGCAGTCAAGGTTGGCCGGTAGACACCCATATCTTGCAGCTTCCCGACCGGAATTTTCCACCAAGTTGTAAATTCGGGTGCCGGTAAACTGCGCTCACAGTGGATTGCGCTCAGAAAATTTTTACTATGTGAACTGCGCTCAAGCTAAAGAAAATAGGGATGAACCAGTTGCAAAAATGCACTTGCATTACAAAATAAACAAAAACAAAATAGGTTATTAATTACCTTTACTGAACACAAATAGTTGTACATTAAGTGTTTTAAAAAATTCGGTCAAACTTATAAGATAGACATTTCTCAAAAGTGCTCCCGAGCGCAGTTCACCTTAAGGATTACCGACCCTTATTAGCCCCATTATTTCTAAAACTGAGCGCAATTCGCTCTGCCCCTAAATTTGAATCCTGTTGAACGTGACCGAAATGGTTAAAAGCCGACGTCACGTTCTCGACTCTGGGGTTGTTTGTGGCGGAAAAAAACCGTTATGACGTCAATCGTCCACCAACTTTGACCCATTATAACTTCGTAGGAGGGACCATTGCAAAAATGATGCTTGGTTTTTTGCCCATTAACTGTTAACGGGATTTACAACTAACGGGTTTCCCGCCTATATCCTGTAATATGATCTTCTCTTCTACTGACATGTGTTACATGTTCAAGTTGAAATATCTATTGTGGGGGTTGGGTTGTGAATAGTTTCCGCGTTATTTATGAGACGCTGAAAGCGTCTTTGTTACCCACAAATTGCATTTTTTGTAGTCACATGAAAAAATTTACAGTTTGTTGTTAATAAACTAATGAATAATGCAAACGCGCAACTATTGACTTGACCCACTTCATTCACCAGTTAAAATCGTTATCACTTTCCTCCGAATTTCATTAAATTTTCAAGTGTTGAAAGCTGACGCAGCTTTTTTAAATAATTCAATTGATGCAAGTGGGGAAACATTAATTATTTCCATTGATGAGAACGAAATTAAAAAAACATCAAGTCAAAGAGTTGTGTTTGTAAGATGATTCACTCGGTTTTAAAACAAACAGAATTGCAGTTCTAATTAAAGCTGAGTCGGGTTATGGAGGAGGAAGCCGCCCATTGCAGGGGCCATTATGTACCGCTAAGCTATTTTCCGTGCCGTCCGCCCAGAGCAGAGATTGCGCTATTGATTTAGTGCTTCTTCGTGCCCGGATGAACGCTGAAACGTCGCCTTTTCATGAAAAATCTCGTTTTGTAATCGACTGAAATTTGACCTACCTGTCTGTAAACAGCTCGAGAACGATAAAAGCTAGAAACGTGAAATTTGGTAGTGCCGAAACATTTGGTAAAAATCGGTCGCACCACAGGGATACAAATCATTTAGAATCATACCTTATTAAACGGTAAAATGTGATAGAATAATAATAATAAGTTAGTTGTTGGCCACAAGGTCACCTTCAAGCTGGCTTTATTTTATTGTGGTGGTCATTAATCATGAATGAGAAGGGTCTTTATCGGTCACCGTCAACTCCCCTGTAGATTTTCCACAACGATAACAAATATTGCCACAGCGATAACCCAAATTGTGTGTAATTTTTTATCTAGTGTTTGAAGAAGGTCCCCAATTAATTGGCGCTTTCGATAAAACAAACCCCACCTTTGATTAGTCAAAATCAAGGTTATTTCGAAGGGTTGTCGACCTTGGACGATGATTAGAGCCCCGAGGGCCGGTTTCGTTTACCTGCGCCTCCTCGCCTTGGCGAAGAACATACACAATGGTTTAATTTATATGCAGGAGCTGCAGGAACCAGCTATGGAGATGTGTGTCTGGAATTGCGAATTTGCCACAATTAAGATTGCCTGGAGGTTGTTTCAGTATTTTTTCGTTATGTTGACTTGTGTGCAGGTTTGTTTAATTTAAACTGAACGTTTCGGTAAACAAACACTTTGTACAAGTTGATTCCGCTTAATTTTCCTGTTTCAACTACAATAATAATTTTGTGTTTGAAATTCGGGCGCTCTCTTGTTCGTTGTTTTGTTGGCAGTATCAGTTGTTGTTTGTTGGAAAACTCTCAGTGGAGCATGCAACCGACATATTAAACTTTTGCGCCCTCTCGGATTTCTGCTATAATCCATTGAACTTGATTAAGACACTCGACTGTAAATGTGGACTTGCAAAACTAGAAAACCTTGTTGTCGACAATTTATTTTAATTGAGTGTTATTTACGTATAATCGAAAGTGAGTATCGATAACAAAGAGTTGATAATAACAACAGGAACTGTCAATCGAGATATACACACACAAAGACGAGTCGTAATTACTTTTCCAGTTGCGTCATTGCCAACACAAACAAAAAATACATAAACGAGATGATAAACATTTGCAAACAGCGATTATGCGCTTGTGGAGAAAACAATGCGACCTTGTTTGTGATATTCAACACATAAACGTGGTTTGTTGCTCAAAATAGCATCAAATTTTAATATTATTGAAGCACAAGTTAACCGTGATCATTTTTTTGTTTGGATTAAATTGTTATTAATTTTATTAAAATTACTGCTTTTGAATTTGAATTCAATTTTAAATTCTTTGGTACTACTTTGACCTTTTTCATGTTCTACATGTTGTTAGTTTCACGGGCAAAAATCATGTGTTTAGAAATTTTTGTTCGATGAATCTCAAAGTCAATTAAAAATGCATGTTTTTCAATTTTAGAAATGGGAAGAATGTCTGGCCTATTAGCAGTTATATTACTGTTTGTAGTTGTTTCTAGAAATGAATCTGGTTTATATTTATAGTAAAGCGATTTATTTTAAATCAGACCAGAATTAAAAGCTAACTAAGAATGAATTATTTCGCCAACATGCATGTATTTTTTATCATTTTTTGTATTAATTATTTAGTCCTCTATTGCAAAAATAAAACCTTTGGTTTCAGCAAAAATATTTGTTTTTGTGAACCAAAAGTGTGAAGCTTTTGTTTACAGGGTGTCAGATGAGATACCAGGAACATGGAAATGTTTTTATTAAACAAAATATGATTGTGAATAAAATAGTACATACAAATTTCGCTTAGAATTCATTACAGAAATATTTCCCCTCTCGGTTGTAATATACTATTGTCTATTTAACTCGCAAAAAGGTTTTTTTTTTAATTTAGTAATATTTCTACATAATTGTATTAACTTTTATCAGTTTAAACTTTCTTAAAAAATATTTTATTTGTGTTTATTTAGGTACATACAACATATTGAATGTAATGTTTTTATTTAAAACACACTTCTTACTAATTCAAAATATTGACTATTGAATGATATTTGTATCAAAAATTTAGAGAATCCCTGATTTTCTATTTTTAGATGAGAAGTCAAGGGCTATGAAAATCAAAGTTTAAAAAAAAATTTGTTCCTTTATTTCATTTTTCTTATTAAACGTATTAAGTTTCTTTATTTTGTGAAATATTTCCAAATCATTATTTGGAATATACATGAATATAAAGGTTTTTTTAAATTATTTGTCTTTAGAAAATAATAATTAATATAAATTAACGTAATGTAAAAAATGAGATCGTATTTTGAACACGAAATTTTGTCTTGTTTTTGAATTATGCGATTTTTTTTGTCAAAACTGCAATTTATGTACCAAAAATTGTTTGAAAAAATAAAATACATATGAAGAAGATAGTTGTAATTCTTAGATCATAACCTTTATGAGAAAAATAGTTTTATAGTGGGTTGCTATTTAAAAAAATATTTTATATCAATAGCAGAAAACAAAATAAAATCTCGAAATATTTTATTCTTGATAAAACATCACATCAAAAAATAAATAGTTTAATCAAAAAACGTTTGGTTCTATACTTTTTATTCACCTGGTAATAGCTATTGTCTAGTTCTTTGAAAAACCATGTAAAGACTTTTCTTTCAAATTCTCTATAATTACATTTTTGGATCAATAAAACTTACTCAAACAAATAGCTTTAATCAAAATATTATTATTACTCTGATCTAAGAGAGAAAATGTGTCTTGGTACTATAGAAATAAAATAAATTAAAAAAACCACGCCCTTCATTTTCTTTTGATGAAGAAAATCTTTCAATGATGTTTTCTAAACTGAGTAAACAGTGTTCTGATTTTAATATCATAATATCAATGTTAGTAATATCTGTTTTTGTCCATTTAATAACTACAAACGAATAATCTAATACCGGTATTGCAAATTTATTTATATTTAGCTTTTCTAAGATTTTTTGAATGTAATTGTGATGATTTGACTGTTTGAAACCTAAATATTTATACAAATCAACATTATTAAGACTTTAACTTATACTTGAAGAACTATTATTATTTACC